GCCTGTGCTAGAAAGATCTTGTTATCTTCCACCGAGATTAAGTATGGTTCCTTTGTTTAATATTGAAGACTTTGCTAGAAGGCAGATAGTGTTTGTCTTTCAACTCTTGTCCGTGTCTGCCTCAGAAGAAGCAAATAGTATGAGATTAATGGTGTCATATTTTCTTCCAGGGTATCTGTCATTCTCTTTTGTGGTCGGTATCTCTTGTTTTGCAAAATTTACAAATTCCAGGGTACTGTCAGCTTGTGTACAGTATGATTGCTTTATGTGAGGATGTCCCAATAAGGTATCTGTTTCGGTCCAACTTACTAGAGTTATCCAGTTAAAATATTAAAGTATCACTCAGTGGATCATTGTTGCTACTTTGTTTGACAGGTTATGCCCCAACATAGCAATACTGAAAGCTGAAATCGCTGAGCTTCTATTCCCAAGTGTTATTGTTAGTCTTGCAGGAAGGATAGGCACATATATCAATTTACATGAATTCATTACTCGTCTTTTCGGTGAAATATCCATGACGTACCAGGAATGCTCCTTTTTTGCCTGCTTGCATTGTTTCTTCTCTGTATATATCTGTTTGTTGAATTGAATACACTTCCCTTGTGTACTTTCCCCTTTCCCATCTTGATTTTTGTGTACAACAGAATTAAAACCATTGCAGAGATTTTTTGTGTCACTTTTGCTAAAGCTTGTGAGCCCTTTGGGCAGGTGAAAGAGCATATCTTCATTGATTAAAACAAGCTAACAAAATCGAAGCAGATTATGTTAAATACCCTGAATGAACTGTGGATGTGTTACGTCCTTGAAAGATCGACTGTTTCTTGATAATCAAAGAGAGAAAAGGTTAGGGTGATTTTTATTGATTCCAGCACTGACCTATTTGCATTATTTTTCTTTTAAGTTCTTATGAAAAAATGTTTTCAAAGATAAGAAATAGGTATCAACACCAATAACTGAGAAAGGTATACTATTCATGGGGAGCAATTGAGCAAATAAGGCTACTTTTATCCTCCTCGTTATTGTGAAATCTGATATCATATAAGTTTTGTATAGATTATAAAAGATCATTACAAACTATGAGAGACAACCGAAAGAAACGTTTGAAATGGTCTTGCAGATACTAAGATTAGAGATCTTGTTCAACCACTGCTAAGATTAGAGATGTGGAAACAACATCAAATGGAATGGCAGCGTCCACAACTGCAAAGTGGGACAAGGTGTACTTTTTGTTTTTTTTTTTGATCAAACCGATTAGTATTATCATCTTAATTCTCCAATCTAGGAGCAATGTTCAAAGATACAACACCAAATTTCGCCAACGCATCAGCTAAAACATTTTTCGAGCGTGGAATAAAAGCAAATAAGATAGAAGTGAAACCTTCCCTAAGACATTGAATATTGTAGAGGATCGATTTCAACTCGTTGGTAACACCGTTCGTATTGATTAGTGTCACAAGCGAGAGCGAGTCGGAGAATACGCTAAGCATTCGGTAACCCGCCGTAGTAGCAGCAATTAAAGCGGCTTTTAAAGCCAATGCTTCTCCGACTAAAGCCGAAGCGACATAGCTTCTGGATGTTGAAGACTGGTTTATGATCCTTAGGCCTGCGTCCCGAAAGCACCAGCCCATACCGCATACACGAGTAGTCTCAATCCACGAAGCATCAGAAAAGCAAAGTACAGTTTGAGGATGTAAGGCCAGAGGTCGAGAAGTGACGTGAGATGAACTGATTTTACAATCCACTCCTTGTGCATCTGGCCAAGCTTTGGCTTCTCTCAATGATCGGAGCA